ATGAGTAAATTGGTTAATATAAAATGCATAAATCTATTGCTTTTAAAAAGCTGTACTAACTTTTCAATTTTTTTATAAATTCAATTTTTCAATTTTTATATAAATATAATATTATTTTCAATCCTGTTTCGGTCCAATTTTTCAGTTATTTTATTTTTTTAATTTTAATTTATAGTACTTATATATACAGCACGCTCATTCAAAAGACATCCAGAAGATATCTTCGGGATATCTTCTGAATGTCTTTTGAATATGTATGCTGCATGAATAAATTTGGTTAATATAAAATGCATAAATCTATTGCTTTTAAAAAGCTGTACTAACTTTTCAATTTTTTTATAAATTCAATTTTTCAATTTTTATATAAATATAATATTATTTTCAATCCTGTTTCGGTCCAATTTTTCAGTTATTTTATTTTTTAATTTTAATTTATAGTACTTATATACAGCACGCTCATTCAAAAGACATCCAGAAGATATCTTCGGGATATCTTCTGAATGTCTTTTGAATATGTATGCTGCATGAATAAATTTGGTTAATATAAAATGCATAAATCTATTGCTTTTAAAAAGCTGTACTAACTTTTCAATTTTTTTATAAATTCAATTTTTCAATTTTTATATAAATATAATATTATTTTTAATCCTGTTTCGGTCCAATTTTTCAGTTATTTTATTTTTTAATTTTAATTTATAGTACTTATATATACAGCACGCTCATTCAAAAGACATCCAGAAGATATCTTCGGGATATCTTCTGAATGTCTTTTGAATATGTATGCTGCATGAATAAATTTGGTTAATATAAAATGCATAAATCTATTGCTTTTAAAAAGCTATACTAACTTTTCAATTTTTATACAAATATAATATTATTTTCAATTTTGTTTAGGTTCAATTTTTAAGTTATTTTATTTAATAAATTTCAATTTAGTATATGTCCACTCAGCATGCTTATTCAAAAGACATTCAGAAGATATCTTCGGGATATCTTTAGGGTACTAAATTAGAAATAATAAATTTAAGAAATAAAATAACTTAAAAATTGGACCTAAACAGAATTGAAAATAATATATATTTGTACAATACAAAAATTGAGAAGTTAGTACAACTTTTTAAAAGCAATAGAATTATGCATTTTATATAAATAAATTTATTCATACAACATGCATATTCAAAAGACGTTTAGAAGATATTCTGAAGATATCTTCTGAACGTCTTTTCAATATGCATGCTGTATGGGCAAATTTGTTAATATAAAATATATAGTTCTATAATATACATTTGCATTACATGTAAGTGATGAATAAAATCTACATATATTGGTTATTTATAGTTTATAAATAGTATAAGTTTAAACATATTCAAACAATTTGCTATATATAAAGTTGTAATTTTCTTTCTAATATTGTTTGTTTCAGCTATCTTATAAAGTATAAAGGTTCTTTATAAATTATTTTATATTTTTGGATATTACGTTCAACTTCGATTCAATCATTCGGATCTATAAATCTTTATTGCACTTTTTATCTATTTAATTTTCTTGTGTCTCTCTGAATATAATTCAAAATGCCTAATAAAAAAAGTCAAAGAGAAAAATTATGTCGGAAAGTTAATGAAAAACTTCATCTGTCATTAGCAACAATTAGTGAAACGGATCAATTAGCAAATAATGAAATATTCTTAGATGAATATTATAATCAGAATTGTAAAAAAATATATAATAGTGTTGATAATGAAATTGTTATTGATAATAATGATTTTAATGATAATAATGATAATAATGATAATAATGATAATGATTTTTTAAATGATGATAACATTTTATTAAATAATCAAAGCAATAATTTGGAACAGAATGATTATTCTTTTCTTAATGATTTACAGCAACGTAATGATACTAATATTTCACCTCCATTATTTGCTAAGCCTAAGGAATCTCTTTCCACAAAATTAGGAAAATGGTCTATTGACAGAAATGTTAGTTTAACTGCATTTAAACAGTTATTAGATATACTACGCGAAGAACCATCATTAATTAATATCTTGCCAGCTGATCCACGTACTATTTTGAAAACACCCCGCAAATCTAATTCTTTAAATAATTCATATCATTATTTTGGTATACGCAAGTCACTAAATTTTTTATCTTTGAAACATAATATAACTGTCGATCAAAATACAGAATTTTTTCTCGCAATTAATATTGACGGGCTGCCTTTAACAAAAAGCACATCAAGTTCCTTTTGGCTAATTTTGGGTACAGTTAAATCAATTAAAAATCTAAAAAATCAAGTATTCATAATAGCTTTACATTATGGAAATGAAAAACCTAAAGCCAATGAATTTTTAAAGGATTTTGTAGAAGAATGTATAAAATTATCAAATGGAATAATGATACAATCTGTTTTATGTAAATTCAAAATTTCAATGTTAATTTGTGATACCCCGGCCAAATCTCACATTTTATCTATTAAAAGTCATTGAGGTTATTTCTCATGTACAAAGTGTGATCAGGAAGGGGATATGGTTAATAACGTTTTATGCTTCGTTGAAACTGAAAATTTAAAAAAAAAAAAGATCATTCATTTAGAAATACCCTTCAAATCGAACACCACACAGGAGAAACACTTTGGCTTCAAATTCCCAATTTTAATATGATTGATAATGTACCTTTTGATTATATGCATAATCTTCTATTGGGTGCAACAAAAAGGTTGTTATGTTGTAAGCGTTATGGATGGATATTTGGCAAGCCTCCTCATAAATTACGTGCTTTAAATATTAATAAAATTAACAATAATCTTCAGGTTTTAAAAAAATATATTCCTTGTGAATTTGCAAGAAAAACTCGGCCAATAAACGAATGTAAAAGATTTAAGGCGACCGAATTTAGACTTTTTCTGTTATATACAGGCCCAATAGTTTTGAAGAAAGTAATACCATTAAAAGAGTATAATAATTTTCTTATGCTAAGTTTAGCTAGCTCAATATTGATAAGTAATCAGTACACAAAATTTGAAAATTATATTTCATATGCCGAAAACCTAATAAAATATTTTATTAAGAATTCAATTAAAATTTATGGACCCGATTTTATTTCACACAACATACATAGTCTATTGCATTTAAGTGATTGTGTACGTTTATTTGGTTCACTTGATGAATTCAGTGCTTTTGCATTTGAAAATCATATGCAAAAGTTGAAAAAGTATATCCGTAGACATTCGCAGCAGCTACAACAAGTTGTGTGTAGAGTTAGTGAGGATAATAATTTTTTGCAACCAATACAATTTGTAAATGATAATTCCATAACATTATTGCAGGAACATTTTAATGGTCCATTAATAAATAATTGCACTTCTCCGCAGTACAGGAAACTTAAAACGATTAATTATTGCTTAAATATTTTAAAAGTAGCTGATCGATTTGTCGAATTGACCGATTCAACTATCGTTGAAATACTAAATTTTGCATCATATCAAAATGAAATATTTTTAATAGGTATCAAGTATATTCCTCACAAAGATTTTTATTCAAAACCATGTTTTTCTTCATTATTTGATATTAAAGTTATTATAAAATATAATACTATATTTCAAATGTGGAGATTTGATAAGATCAAAAGAAAATTACTAGTTTTACCATATAATGATCAATATATTGCATATCCTCTACTGCATTTATAATTGTCTTAAATAATTTTATAATAAATAATAATCGATCACATTTTTCAATAGTTAGTTAAACATAAAATATTTGATAATTTTTAATTTAAATATTTGGAAACTTTATACTAGCTAGAAAAGAAAAATAACATACAAGCTAACGAAAAGTTAATTTTATAAGTTATTTTTCTTATTTAATTAGTATAAAGTCTCAAAATATACTTAATTCAGATTTATTATAATATAATAATCAATTGATCAGTTTTGCATTAAATTTTTTATTTTTTATTAATTTCTTTATTACATATGTATTTTATTTGTTTAAAAAAATATTCCTTTTCTCTAGTCTATAAATATAAAGTGGAATAAATTAATATAGAATTTATTTATTAACACTATTATTTAGATTAATTTATATTAATACTATTATTTAATTAATACTATTATTTATTATTGAAAAAATCAATATTGTTTTAAATATTAATTTTTTAAATTTATATTATAATTGTTATCTAATATATTTATATTTAAATATTTTGGTTTTAGATAACAATTATAATATACATTTAAAAAATTAATATTTTAAAACAATATTGATTTTTTCAATAATAAATAATAGTATTACTTAAATAATATAATAGTATTAATATAAATTAATCTAAATAATAATGTTAATAAATAAATTCTATATTAATTTATTCCACTTTAAAGCCGGTAGCACATGGGTACATTCAATGCGGAGCGGAAAAGTCGTCAACATATACATATATTCCTATGGTAGATAAGCTACGACAGGCCCAGCGTAGTCCGCTGTAGCATACTATCATAGGAATACATATGTTGAAATTTTTTCTGCTCTGCATTGAATTCACCAACGTATTATCGGCCTTAATATAATAAGTTTGTTGTTATACAACAATTCTGTTAAATAAGCATTATTAATTAAATTGATAATATTTTCTTGTTATTTTAAGATAACTTCAAGCGAACTACAGATAGCGTTCACGTAAATGCTGGTAAATAATTATTTTTATTCTTTATATGTTTTGTATTTTTAAATATTCCTTTTTGTATAATATTTTAATATCCAATATAACTTAACTTTCAGAATTTTCAGAATTCAGAAAACAACTTCTTAAAGAAGTTCATCTGATTAATCTTAAATTAAATGATCTTATGGATAACGTGAATATACTTGTAAAAAAAGCCCGATATGCTGATGAGCCAGAACTAAATAATGACACTAATACGGCTGTTATGACTTTAATACAATCGTTTCCAGTCGTTACAGAGCAGGAATTAATGTCGATGGAAGAATGGCTATCGAGTTAGCTGATAACATACATGCACTGGTGTGTACTTAATTATATTATTATATATTATTTAGATTATATTTTACATGATGAAAATTATTTTCTAATAAAGAACTTTTTTATTTTGTGAATTTTATATTTTAGAGTCATTAACTGCGTTTAATTGGAGGCACAGATCTTCCCCATGTAATCAAAGCCATTATGTCGAGAGCAATTTCAAATGAAGTTGGAATGCTATATTCCTGGGAGGGAGCTCGGCAAAAAAAAGCTTTTAAATCGCTAAAGTTCGTCCAAGTGATCATTGGTAAAATATATTATTTTATATACTCTACATCAAAACCATTTTAAGCATATACATATACGCTTGAATCAAGCTTCATCGTAACATAACTGTGTTGCGTAATCAAATAATATTTAAATAGAAAAATTTGAATTTGAATTTAATTTTGTTACATTACTTTGTCGCTTTCATTTTTTTATTCACAATTTTTTTATTTAATATCTGTAATATATATGTATTATATGATGATGTTACGCATTAAAGTTCGCAGATCTGTTCACACCGGTTATGTTGCACAGTTACGTTATGTAATGCTCATATGCGTGCGTAACTTTTATATTTACTAAATGATTTTAGGTGTTGTTCGACTGAACTCCAAGACAAAATCTGCAACAGAATCGGATATCATAGAAGTAATAAAAAATTGGCTAGTTAGAAGTAAAGAACGCAGTAACAAGTTTCAATCAAAAAAGAAAACGGAAAACACTGTGTGTCAAACAGATTCCGTTTGTGAAACAGGCTCTGCTTGTGAAACAGGCTCCGTTTGTGAAACAGGCTCCGTTTCTGAGAAAGACCTTATTCAAGATTAAGATAATTATATGTATAACTTGCCGATATATATATATATATATAATTATTTGTTTTACATTTATTACAAATTAAAAGTAAAATTTTAAGGTTTTAAATACTATTAATTTGATTGTTCTGCTACTATATATATTATTTGCATTTATCATTTTTGTTTTTTTTTTATTAGTGCACATTTATCAAAATTGCTTTTTGTTTTTATTTTAAAATTGAGTTCTTTTTATTTTAAAACTTCAAAACACAACAACGGTTGAAACAACGGTTTTTAATTGTATAGAATATATTATATATGTATGTATTAGAAATAACTTCATTGGATATCTGTACTATACATACATAATATGACATTTAAAATGTTTTTCGAAAATTATAATAAAAAATAAATGCTAAAAAATTATATTGATATACAAAAATATATGTATACAGTGAATATGTTTATTACATCCACTGTTTATATGTACATACATTTTCGTATATCCATATAATTTCTTTAGCATTTATTTTTTATGATATTCGAAAAACATTTTGTACGTCATATTATGTATATAGTACACGGATATCCAATGTCGAATAAAATTAGCTGGAATCTTGATATAATATATATATATATATATATATATATATATATATATATATCAGAAAGAAATATTTTTATTGGCTCTCAATATTAAAAATATAAATATGATGTTTTTTTTTTAAATCGGCCAACAGAGCCAAAGCACGAAAAATTAATTATTCGAAACTGTATCTCTTGGTTTGAAAAAAACATATTTATATTCTTAATATTGAGAGCCGATAAAAATATTTCTTTCTGATTTTATTCACGCCTTGGCCTAATCACGGCGTTATTTACTAACATCTACTAAAAGGCAAATGAAAAATATAGGATCGAAAGGGTCTGGATAGCTTAGTTGGTAAGAGCAGTCGCCCGGAAAGTGAAAGACGCGGGTTCGATTCCCGCTTCAGCGACTTTTCGGACCTATATTTTTCGCGCCTATTTCTCCATATGTAAGTTTCGAGATTAATTTATATATGGAACTTAGTGATCTCAAACCAAAAGATACAGTTCCGAATAATTAATTTTTCGTGCTTTGGCTCTGTTGACCGATTAAAAAAAAACATATATATATATATATATATATATATGTATATATATATGTTATATATGTTATATATATATATATATTATATATATATTAAAAAACATTATATCGAAAAATGTATTGTAGAAGGAAGTTTAAACCGAAAAATGTATTGTAGCTCTCGGAGACTTTTTTGCAGATCGTTAAAATTTTGAAATTTTTAATACATTTTTCGTTTTTATTCTCCCAATTTTAGAAGGATACAACTTGGAAGGAAAATATTTTTGGATCCATGTTTATATAAAATGTTTTTTATTTTTACCTCTAAAGTATGCTCTTAAAATCTGTGACATAGTTTAGAAAATGTACTTTTTCAGATTTTCTTTCAGAAATCTTGTACTTTTTCATACATGTATTTTATCATGTTCAAGAGCGGCCGATACATTCGCGAATTATGTAAATTTTTTAAGATTATCATTATAAAATATTCGGTGCGGCGAACGGTCGTTTGTTGTTCTTTGCGCTGTATTTTTGTCCTCGTCAACTTTGTTGTTGTGTCAAAGTTATAAGTTAATAGCTAATAGAGCTAAGTGCTTATTGTTTCGTAAATATTCTAAATAAAAATTTGACAACTCGAAAATAATCAGGTAGACCGGCGTAAACATAACGCGCGCGAAGGCAGGACAACGACTTCCCTTTTTTCTGGTCTTTCGATTAGCTGTTCGTGCGTGTTTTTCCCGGGGCAAAACATCGAGACAAGACGTCGTGCGCGTGCGCGGCAAAAATAAAGAATCCTTTAAATAAAAAGCCAGAGTATCCACTAACTGCGCAAAACGTTTGCGAACGTTTGTGAACGTTACGAGCGCTTGTAAAACTAATAATAATATTATAATAATATAATAATAATGTAGTATCGGGACTCCTCTATAACGCGTAAGTGGGTGATGCGGAGAAGGTTGGGCAGAGGGCCTAGGTAGCTTAATGGTTAGAGCAGTCGCCCGGAAAGCGGAAGGTTCCGGGTTCGAGTCCCGGTCTAGTCACCCAAAGGCCCGATTCTTTTTCGCGGATCCTACTATAATATAATATAATAAAAATATATAATTTTGTAAGCGTTTGTGACGTTCACAAACATTTGCAAACATCTTGCGCGGTTGATAGATACCCGGCTTAAGGCCCCGAAGCGTCCACGCCAGATTTCTTGTTTTTCACCAAAACATGCACAAATCGTTTTCGGACAATTAACCGTGCTTTTTTTGTCGCTCGCAGAACGCAGACTTACACGCCGATCGCCTTTCGCGATTATTTCGGAGTCGCTCGTTTCGTAATCACTAAATCAGATTATTTACGTTTTTGTTACGTTTTTTCTTGTATTGGTAGATTAGAATAAGTTCATTGTTTGTTTTACAAAGTCAACCGCTTTTTTTACACTTGCATCCCTTCACTTTTTCCACGCCTATTTTTTTTTATTTTCCGGAAACAAAAATCCTTAAAATTTTTTAAATGTTTTTGGGATGAAAATGAGAATAGAAATTTTCACATCGTTTACTTTTTCACGAACCTTTTTTTTGTAAAATTTTCTATATACAATACTTACAACATTTCTGGATGTACCGAAAAAATATCCTGGATATAATGATAATGATGATTCAGAACTGCCTTCATATGCAAGAATTGCTAATTGATATATTTCTCTTTCTGCACATTCTCCAAGTCCTCGTACGTGTATCCAGTAATAACCCAAAGTTTGATTTGCACTTAAAATAAAATCAACACGTTCACCTACGCAATAAGAATAATAAATATATTTGTGTACGTAGTAAAAAAAGCAATACGCATGCACACATTCACACACCCGCGGCACATACGCGTGCACGCGCACATATGTATATAGGATGTCCATAAAATATATGCCCATTCGCTATATTTCGCAGTTACATGTATTTCGTGGTTTTTTAATAATTTTGAGCCGTTTCGAAAATATAGGGATGGGGATTTTATGGATACCTTATATTACATATATTGTATACATACAGGGTCTCAAAATTAGATTGACAAACTTCAAGTGGTTATAAAGGAAATGAAAACAAGCTAATTTTGTCAATAAACATTTTTGTAAATGTGTCATTTTGGTAGTAAAGTGATTTTTGAAATGAAGTGTAATAGATCTAATAAGTCTTTGTACATTAAAAATTCTTACAAAGAATAATTTATTTTTTAATTATAAGTAATAAACATTTGTTTTAATAATTATTTGTGGTAATTGTGCATCTTAAAGGAGCTACCTCCGATTATCTTGACCTTGACATATGTTGTCAAGGTCATGACCCTGAGTACCCTCCAAAAGGTTTTAATCTGCGTTTGTAATTAATTACAAAATGATTAACAACTAGCGTTTCGGACCGCGCTTTGTGTGGTCCTCAAAGCCTTTTTAATCAAACCGCGGAAAGCGTGGTCCTCATATAGTAGCCTATATAAAACTTGGCCGATTTTCAGCTGACTCCGCCTAGCAACTCCCCTTGTCGCGCATCGTCTACAACCCGCTGGCGCCTCAGGAGCGTGTGATTTGAGAATATACGTGAAATAACTTTTTTTAATCTTTTTATTGCTTTTCTCCACTCTTTTCTCCTTATTTCTTTTTCTTCTCTCTCTTCTTCTTCCCTTTCCCCCTCCTCTTCTCTCAATTTTCTTACCACTCTCTCCTCTACTCCTCCTAATAGCTTCATAAAATATCCTCTCCACTCTTCCATCTCAATCTCCTCATTTATTCCCTTCTTCTTCCTCCTTTTCTTGTTCACTATTTCCCACACCTCTTTTTCTCTTTTTACTTCCGCCGCTTTTTTCTACCTCTCATTCTCCTCTCTTTTCTTTCTCTCACATAGCTTCTTATATTCTCCTCTTCTTCTTCTGTACTCCTCTCCTTCTCCCCCTTCTCTTCTCTACCTCCTCAGCTCCCCCTTTATCTCCCTTTTTTCTTCTCTACATTCTTCATCCCACCATCCTCTCTTCTCCGCCTTTCCTTCTTTCACTTCTTTCTCCGTTCAACAATTCTGAGATTGTGCTCTATTGCGAACTGAACGCTGTCGTTCTTTAAGTCGCCTTATTTGTTGTGGAACTGTTTCTCGTGTTCTTTTATCTACAACTTGTAACCGTTGTTCATCGAGACATTTTATTTGTTTCTCTTGCGTTTCCTGATCTCTACTGATTGTTGTGCGAAAATTTTAATTAACTAAACACAAAGATCTCTGTAATGTCGTTTTTCGTTTTCTTTTTAAAATAGTTTCCATTTTCTGCTTCATCAAACGCAATTTTCTCTCTTCAATGCTCTCTCGAGCATACCTCAAAGATCTTGCTAAGCTTATTTGATTCACACAAGCATCATGTTCCTCTTTGTTCTCATTGAGTCTATTTAATTCTTTTTTCCTCGCATCTTGAGTTTTTCTAGATAATTTAGTTTTTACTTTTGGCATTTTAAGCCTAGTCAAAGGTTAATATTATATTAGATCAATTAATTAAATTTAATTTGATCTTAAATTAAAATCAAGTATTTTAATATTGTATCAATTTTTAATTTATGATTTAAATAATTTATATTTTTAACATTAACAATTATATATCAATCTGTCTTTCAATATTATTTTTGTTAATTGTTTTTATTTAATAGATATTTATATTACGATGTCGTAATTCAGTTAAATATTATAGTAATGTAATCAATTATATAAATTTAAATAAATTAATTAAAAAACTTAAACCAATTATTTGATATGTAAACCCGTTATCAAAATAAAGTTTGATGTATTTATCGACGAAGTCTAAAATTTAAAAATTACTTCAGTTGAATGATTGGGTTTAACACAAATAAAATGAAACTTAAATCTGGTGTTACCTGTCGATAGCAGTATAGTCAACTCGATAGCATATATCAAAGAAGGAGATATG